CTTGTGGATTCAAACGGCCTGCCTTTTGGTTGACAGTGCAACTCTTATCTCACAACTCATCTACTACTCATCTCACTACTTATCTCCCACTCATGTCTATGATTTTCACATTTCTCATGACTGGGCACCTTTCCAAGACACCTTCAACTATGATACCTTTGATCGAGACCATTCTTTCCTTTAGCTAATTTAAGGCCAAAGCTTTGTATAAGGTTAGCCCTTCCGATTTATCATCTGTATCCTGATTTCCTTTCTTTCACTAACCAGTTCAACTTCATGGCTCAGTAACCTCATTACATCCCTCTCAACCCCCATTTGATTATTGATCATATCATTAAATCACAATTTATAATCCTGGGTTGGATCAGTTAGATTCTTGCTATTTTTCAATTTCTCGTTTGTGAAAGAGTTCATTTGGCAGTGGAGAAACTCCATGCAATTGTGTGCTATTGAATCCCTAAAAAATATAGAATTCTGTGATTTACTGGGTGCTTTCTACAAATCAGATGCTAAAAACTGCACATCTGTTATCTTTCTTAATCCTTATAACTGTGAAAAACGGGTGATTTGTTTCACATTTTGCAGATGAGGATTCCAGAGTTTAGAAAGACCAAGGCATTTGCAAACACTTGAGAGTTAGTACATCCAAAAGCCTACATTTAAAATTCTATCATTTTTTTTCCTCTGATACACAAATTCTTAACCACTATGTATAAATTCTAATGTTTTTTTGATGCAATAATTTTTTTCATAAAATACCAATCAGCATCTTCTCTCATCCTTTAAAGCAAATATTCTAAATAGCTTATCACAAATTCTAGTCTGTCAATTTTGAACTTACCACTCTTAGCTGGTGAGAAAATGGAGAGATATTACTCACATTTGTATCTCATTGCCATGTAATTTTGTTACTTGGATTATATTCTTTCTAAGCTCAGAACACTGTGGTTTTTTCACCCTACACCTTTTCTTCTCTTCAAGGCCTTAATCCCTCGATCTTTCCCACTATCTCCTATGTATTAAAGCTTTATCTCCTTGCATGTTTTGTGGTCTAATATTTAACTTGAGTTCACTGTTTAACATCACTGTAATTTTCTCACTATAAATGTATACATCACGACTTAGAATAAATATGATGTCAACTGGAGTTTTAAAAAGTACAAGATACATCAATATAAATGTGATACACAAAAAGGCAATAAAATAAATTTGGAGGATTTTTTAACCATTAAATAATATTTATATTGCATAAATTTCATTAACATGGAACTATGTTGCATGAAATTCCAATGACTGTGATATATTTCAGTCATTTAAAATCTTTACAGAGCCTTTATTTCAAGGCACACATGTTTGCACTAGATTCAAACTGTTAACCTTTTAATTGGTAGTTGAGTACTTAACCATATGTACTAACTACAGATACTTGACTCAAAAATGTCCAGTGTAAATGAATACCTTATAGTTTTCTAGGTAATACAAGTATTTTGGAATACTTTACCTGAATTCAGCTCTTTCATACAATTAACCTTTCTGCATCTTTATAGGCTTTTAGACATTGTTATTGTTGTTTGTTTGGTGTTGTATACTGTCAAGTCAGAACTGACCCATAGCTGACACCTTCTGGTGGGTTTTCAGAGGCAGTAAATCACATGGGAGGAGATTGCTCATCTTTCTCCTGTGGATTTGTACCTCATGCCTTTGAGATTGCAGTGCAGCTTCTTTCTACTAAGCTACCAGAGCTCCCTTTTCCACATTGGTATGTCTTTTATATCCAGGCATTAAATCTTTGATTTTTTTCAACTTGAGTGACATCTAATGCAAATGTGTTGCTTCAACATATCCCTTCTATTTTTTCTCTCATTCTTGTCTTTGATTTTAATTAGTGCTCTCACTCCATTTTCTTCTTGTATTAGCTTGACAATCTTAAGTTATCTGTATTTTTTGTGATTACTAAAAATGTGTATATGGCAAAATATATGCTGTAGCATTGTAATTTCAGCCAATACATTTTTTACTCTTTCAGGCTAATTCATCGCTCTTCATTCATTCACTCACTTACTCACTGCTTTTTAATTGGTTCTGACTTATAGCAATCTCCCATTGGGTTTCCTAGGCTATAGATTCCAATAAGAGGAGAAGGCCCATTTTCCTCTGTGGTGAATTGGAACTGGGGAGATGCTCAGTCTTGGGGTTAACAACACAACTCCCTACAGTCTATGTCAGTGAAGCTTCTTACGGCATTTGTTGAAATAGATGGTGGAAGAGTTCAATGTCATTAGTCAGAACAAAGCTGACTGTGGAGAAGATTATTAATTGCTCCTATACCTATTTAAGTTGAAACTGAAGAAAATCTGAGTTAAGTCCACAAGAGCCAAAACAAAATTTTACATACATTTAATGTGATTTTAGAGGTCACATAAAGAATAAATTTGACTCCTTGAGCACTAAAAACCAAAAATCACCTGTTTTATAGAGTGATATCAAGAGTATCATACAGAAAGAAAGCAAAATGTTTATTATTATTATTCAACATGATGAAAGGAATAAAAGACTGAAATGAATGTCAGGAGAGACTTTGCAACTTGCTCTAGAATGTAGAGAAGCCAAAACAAGAGAAAGTAATGATGATGTAACAGAGATGAACAAAGTATTTCATAGGGCATCTAGAAGAGATAAAGCCATATACAGATGTATGAAAAGACCTGGGATTAGAACACTAAAAGAAAAAGCTCAGCATACGGATTCAAAAGTCAGAATTTGTGCAACAATTGAAGGACTCCATGGGCAAAATATTGAGTACTGTAGGAAATCTCAACGGATGGAGAAAATATACAGTCACTGTACCGAAACTAATTGGCCAGTGTTCAACCAGGTCTTCTGTTGTTGTGTACCTTCCAGTTGGAACCACCTGTCACTGACTCTCCAGTGGGTTTTCAGCGGCAGTTATTCACGTGATAGGAGCTTGCCTATCGTCCTCCTGTGGAGCACCTGGTGGATTTGAAGCATATGTGTTTGGCCTTGCAGTGGTGGCATAAGATTACGAATAAACAGACAATGGCATTAAATGCCAAAGTCCAAGCTCAAGTGCTGAAAGGGCATTGGGGAAATATGAGGCCTCAGGAATTGACTGAAAACCATGTGAGATGTATCATTAAGTAAGCAGCAGTGGGAGCCCTTACTTATCTATGCCAATAAATTTGGATGATAACTATCCGGGCAACAGTCTCTGACCAATCAACTGGAAGGGATCCACACAGAGTGCCAAAATTATTAAGCGATTTCATTAACATCACCAAAGTAATTTCTTTCCAAAGATAAGCAAAAACATTTGTAGCAGTGCGTCAAGATGGGACTGCGAGAAACGTCAGCTGATAAAGGCAGGATTGTGAGAATGGTAAGAAAACCTACAAGTATTTCTATCTATTTTGCATAGAGTCACTATGAATATAAAGCAAGTAGATGTCACCCAACAAGAACAGCAACAGTAACTTATTTCTACTAATCACTTTTAAGTAAGTTTGTGGAATATGTTTTGTCCACATAAATCTTTTCACAAATTTATTCTAGACTGTCATTAATTTTAAATGGTAATGAACTTGATTTCTTGCCTGTAATTTCAATTTTTCAAAGGTGTTCAAATTATGTTATTTGGTTCTTCTCCCTCAAAATAAGTTTGTATAAAAAGAAATGGCCAGTGTTACCCATAATATTATGATCAGCTTTGTTCACAATAGCAAGGAGCTGGAAACAACCTAAGTGCCCATCAACAAATGAATGGATAGAGAAGCTGTGGTATATTCACACAATGAAATACTACACTGCATTGAAAATCAAGGAACTCATGCAATATTATTCAAAATGGGTGACCCTGGAGGACATTATGCTGAGTGAAGTATCTCAGTCACAAAAGGACAAAACTGCATAGTGCCATTGTTGTAAAACAGGACTGACCTCGGGGTTGGAGGGAGACTGAGAAAGATAGGTTCAATAATGTCTATTGCATTGAAACAAATGAGGAAGAAAACTGTTTAAAGGGGATATATGATTAGGTATTTTTGTCATGACAGGAGTCTAGAGCAAAGGCTGCATAGTGGAGTGGACCTGTGGGGGAGAGATTGTAAAACAATGAAAGACATTTTATTTTACTTTTCCAAGAGGGTATTGTACTGGAGGAGTGGGGGGAGGGCTTAGGAGGGGAGAAAAGTGAAGCAATGGAAATGAATGGAAATCCAAAGTCTCTGTAAAGTTTCATTGAAATTAATAATAAATTTTTTAAAAAGCATGTGATCTCTTTATTTTCATAAAATCCACAAAGCACTAGTAAATATAAATGGTAAACAATTTGCAAGTGGATTCCAAATGTTATAACACTAAGATTCTGTCAGAAATGTGATATGTTAGTGTAAAATTTAGGAGTACAATGCAATATATTTAAGAATGTAAATTACAAGAAATAATAGAAAATACAAATGATTCTTATTCAGTAATTTAAATGACAGAATTCTTATTATGAAGTATGTAACTTATCTCATACCTATTTTAACACTAATTAGCCGTGTACAGTATCAATGCCACAATCTATAATCATTACAGTTATGATGAAGGGATTTTTTTTAATTCCTCAGTTCTTTCTACATCCTGCTTCTCTTCTGCATTTTTGCAGTAAATACAGTATCCACATAAGTACTTTTCAACAAATAGACGTAGCCCTTTGTTAATTCATAATCTGTGAAAAAGGCACAAAGAACTATCTTTGAGTTGATGCTAACTCTGTGTCTATTTTATTAATTAAACACAGCAAATTACTATAGACTACGTGGTGTGTCACAGTCAAAAGCATCTTGCCCTTGAAAAAAGAATAGAGGAAGTAAGCTGCTCAACTGAAAATGGTGGCAAAGAGCAATTAAAACATGATTTTTGTTTTAAACCTATGAATGACACATTTTAGGTCAGATACATTATCACACTGAAACAATTTTGAATTGGAGATGATGTGTTTAAATAATGACAGCCTGCAAGAGTCTGAAGCAAGTCATTAAATTCATTGCAATTGGCGGTTTGATCTCATTCCCATCCAGACGAAGGTAGCTAAGACGAGGGCCATAAGTGAACAAATCTCGATCTTCGGGACGAGTAGAAGGAGTTGGGCACATCACAGTGACATTCACACCTATGGAGACAAAGACAGCATGGATGAGGAAGTTAGGAATTAGGATGGAATTAGGATGACAAGACAGCAGTCCTGTGGAGGATCTAGTGGACTTGGTAGCTAGTGGATGAAAGACATACAAACCATTTTTGTTAGAAGTTGTCCAGACCTATTTATAAAACAACCAAGAAAAACTAGCAACATATGTAATGTATTTTATACAGTGAATAGGAAAAGAAATATTGCTAAGAACTGTGAAGGAAATATATCCTTTTGGGTTTGTTTTGTTTTGTTTTCTTTGTAGATGAGCTAGGGAATGTTTATTGTTGTTGTTATGTGTTGCCAAATTGGATCCAACTCACAGCAGACTCTCCAAGGGGTTCTGAGAGGCTGTAAATTACGTGGGAAGAGATTTCTCATTTATCTCCTGTAGAACAACTGATAGATTTGAGTCATCTGCCTTTTAGTTGGCAGCGTAACTCCTACCAGAACTCTCATGGGAAAGGTGGTTGTTGTTAGGTGCCCTTAAGTTGAGTACAACTCAAAACGACCCTATGAACAACAGGTTTGAACTCTGTCCTATACTGTGTCATCCTTACAATCTCTGACACACTCAAACTCATTGCGGCAGTGACTGTGTCAACTACCTGGTTGAGGGTCTCCCTCTCCTTCAGCATCCCTCCACATTTACAAGCATGATATTATTCTCCATGAAATAATCTCTCCTAGGAACATACTCAAAGTATGTGAGATGAAGTTTCCCTCCAAGAAGCATTCTGGCTGCACCTTCTCCAAGACATATCTGTTTGTTCTTTTTTGCAGTCCATAGGAAAGTTCAAACTAACAGAAACTAACAGTATTTAGAGAACATTTGAGGTGTAAGAACAATTCAGGGCTAGCGGCACAAATAGCTATGTGTTTAACTACTAGCAAAGAGGTACCATTGAATAGAAGCCTGGCAATCAATTTCTAAAAGTCGCAGTTTAAAAACCTCTCTGGAGAAGTTCTACACTGTAGAACTTTGAATAATGGAGTTACCATTATTCAAAATCAACTTTCTGGAAATAAGGACAATAATTGAAATAATAGGTAGTTTTATGGAAGTATGGAGGGAAGGCTGAATAAATGAAGAGAAGAATTCATGAACAGACGGATCCATCAATCATAGGAGAATGAATAATGAGCAGGTAAACCTGTAGAAATGCAATGCAATACAAATGAAAACTCTTGAAAATGACATTCAAAGATGCATGGTTTCAAATCACTAGAGTGTGATAACAAGGTTCCTTTTTGCTTAAGAATGAAAGAATTTTTTAAGAAAGAATTTAAATTTTTAAAAATCTAGTATTTTTGGTAATTAACATAATCGATCAGATATGTTATACTTACAGAAAACAAGCTTGACTCTCTGTACTAAAATACACTTAATTGGAAAAGAAATTCCTCAAAGAATTGAATTACAAAGAACTCATCCAGAAAGAGTTCTATCAGCCTTTTTGGTTGGCTAAAATGAGAGAAATCACACATCAGCCTTGGAGTAGAGACTTTGGCACAAATGACTGTGCTGATAGTTAAGAGCATTCTACAAGGAAGGCCTGTTAAATTGACAAAATTCAGAAAAGTGTGTATATTCTTTAGCTAAACAATATTGGACTAACATAGCTGATCCTGACTATGAATCTGTGTACTAAGTTCATGTCCTTCCTATTTTAAGCGAAAGAGCTTTTCTGATTCAGCCCACTTATCTCAGGCCATGGCCCTTCTCTGTGTCCTATTGGGTCATATAAATTCATATTGTACTGAATGATTTTATGTTTATAGTAAGATTGTGTGGTCCTGATCTAATGCTATTTTGTGAGTTGCACTTGAGAAAATTATGACTCATGTTTGTACTGCAGTTTGTGTGCCCATAAAGTTTTATACAGCAGTTTATGTTCATAAAGTTCTTTTTATATACATACTTTATCACTTTATTATCAGAGAGGATTTATGAATAAAAATTATTATTCTTATCAGAAATTTATGGATGCAGTGGTTAAAACTGGTAGGTTTGATTTGGTATGTTTAATAAGGCAGTTCAACAAATAAAATACACTTTCCTAATTACAGAGGGTTTCTTCCTGACAAAGGAGAGTATTTCTCTTGTGATATTTTCTTATCTGGTTATTAATCTTGTGTCCCATAAAACAACACAAGTATAGATAAGTTATATATAAGAAACATGAGTTTAAAATTTTAATTAGTAACTGAAGTAAATGTTGTTGTTATGTGCTGTCGAGACGTGAACCAAGCATGATGTTTTTAAAAGAGGGTAAGGAGAATATCTCCTCTGATTACCTAAATAATTTGCCAAATTTGCAATTCTTTAAAATTTTCAAGAGTTATAAATGTATATTTATAGCATCTTATCAAAGGAAAATATACTATCTTGTAAATTCCACTAATCCTTTATATAAGGGCATTTTGGGGGGGGATAAGTTACTAATGAATATAGTAGATTATGTGGCAAGAACTAAGTAGTTAAACAGTTCTAACACAATGTTATATAACTGTGAGCCAATAATACTGGCCAGGGACATTCTGATTTTACATTTATTTTATTGGAACAATGAAATGACCTTGTATATGTCTATGTTAAGAAGCAAATAAATCAAGTGCTTTTCATTATTTTTGTGGCTGTTAATACCATTAAGTCTACTAGTCAAGTTTTTTTCTGAAGTCATATTCTGGGGATCAAAGAAAATTGTGCTGTAATTATATTTTGAGTGAACAAAACCACTAGATATAAAATGAGAAGCTTTTACTTAGATGCTGGTTGTTCTTTTTACTCTCTAACTCTATGCAAATATTGGCACTTAACCTAGTTTCAGTTTCTTAAACTAATTCACTCTCTCTTTCTATCCTTCTCTTAAAATGTCACACAAAGTTTAGATGAGAACTCATTAAAACAGTAGCCCTTAGAGTGAGGTCCCAACACTAACAGCAGCATTGCCTGGAAATTATCTTGTTAATTTCCACCCTAAACCTAATAAAGCAGAAATTCAGGACCTGGTGGAGCTCAGTTATCTTTGTTTTATTAAACTTTCCTAATCTTTCTGGTTCACAGGAAAGTGAAAGAAAAACTTTTTTAAAAAGTAATAATAATATTTAGTAAAAGGCATTGAAAACTCTCTGAACTGTTGATAAAGGACAAAGTCATGATCTTCTATGGATAAGTATTTAAGTTCCTATCATATGAGCTATTCTCCATATGATGCTCATGGCAGATCCCCTATAGGGAGCTACTTTAAATGAACTTCTCATACTAAATGATTGTAAGGTGTTCTTCTCAGGTAAAAAGGACACTGTAGTAGCCCAAAATTTTCAAGAAGGAAGAATGTGTTTATGTATTTGAATTTGTGCTGTTGTACTACTACTTTCAGCTAAACAGATTAGTTTTTTAACAAGACTTTTCTGTGGTGTCTTTTGCATTTGACTGTTGTTGGTAGTGTCATTGAGTTGAGTTCGACTCATAGCAACCCTCTGAATACCAGATCGGAACCCTATCCTATCCTGTGCCAACCTCACTATCTCTGACACTCTGGAGCCCATTTTTGACTGATGGAACAGTTTGTCTCATTAGCCTAAAATAATAATGTTTGTGGAAGTAATGCCCTGCCTTTTAGTTTCTGGTTTTTAATAGAATGCATGCTATTAGTAAGCAATAAATAAATAAATGGACAGAAAATGGTGGATAAATAAGTAATGCCATATAGAGGAATGAATGCTACATCCCTAGACATAGTAGATTTCAGTAATTCTTTTCATAAAGGAAACCTGAGTGATGAGAGAGCAAAACAAACTTCTGTGTTATTTTCTTACAAATCAGACTGTATTTCAGCTCATAAATATATTTTTTAAAGTTGTTTAGGCAAAGTCTTCCCAAGATTATCTACCTTAGATATTTCATGCTAGGGTTAAGGATGCTTGGATGGGTGCCTGGTGGGATATCTTCCTATTCTACAGCACTTTAGATGAGTATCCTGACTTGTTTATTGTCAGAATCTTAAAGAGCTGCCACTTTCCAGAGACTTCGTTTCCGTTTCAACTAAGCAGAGCTTTACAGTACTAGTAATCATAACGTGATCCCCAGGGAAGAGGAATTAACTGTCATTTGAGAACTTGGGAAAACCAAAAGTTATTGGACCCCACCCCAGACCTACTGAATAAGCAGCTCTGAAGGTTAGTCCACCAGTCTGTGCACAGTAGAGTTTGAGGAATCTATTAATTTTGAGAAAGACTCTCATTTTGAGAGTTATAGGCATCAATTATTTCATGTTATCTGGAACAGAGGGTCATATCACTGTGATTACTCTTTACAAGTTTGTACCTGTTGTAAATTCTTAAATAAGTTTAATCAGTGAGAAGTATAAATAATGCAAATATGTATTTAAAAAAATCCAAACCTCAAGTGTATATTACTTTGAAGAAGAACACAACTAATATTCTTAAAGAAAATCTAGGATAATTGAATGGCACAAGCACACCCTGATGTAGACTTACTTTTGATTCTGTTATGGTCAAGGTGAAGATGCTGAAGATAAGCACTGATTCGGGGAACTTTGGTGAGTCGGTTGTGAGACAGTTGAAGATCTAGAATTGATGACACATCAAAACCATTAGAAGGGAGGCCTGCATCAGATAATTTGTTGTGGTTTAGTCTCAGGAAGGCCACTTTAGGAATGACATTGAAGTAATTTTCTGGTATTCCTTCAATAGAATTGTTGTCTAAAAACAGTTGCATTGTATTGGCTGGTAATCGGGGAGGCATATTCCTCAGAGCATTCTTGGCCATATTTAACTGCATGAGGTTCTTGAGTCCCTTGAAGGTGTCTCTCTGAAAGGCATTGTCTAACAGCTTATTGTGCTGCAGATCGAGAAGGGTGAGATTCTCCAGATTGCTGAAGGTCCCTTGAGGAATTCTGGACACCTTGTTTCTTGCTAGTTGTAGTTGTTCTAAACTTCTTGGCAAAGGAGAAGGTACTTCCTCCAGCTCATTGTCTTCAAGAAATAAGAAAAGCAACTTCTTAAGTTGACTCAGGGCTCCTTTTTCAATCCCATAATTGGTTATTTTGTTCTTGTTAAGATTGATCCATCTCAGCTGGGTGGCATTCTCAAATGGTTTCTCCGGAATGGTTTCGATCAGGTTATTTTCAAGGTAAAGATACCATATCCTTGAAGGGATAGCGGGAATTTCCTTAAGACCTCGATTTTCACAGTATAAAGCAGTAGGAAAGCTAGGTGGGCAGAAACATTCCCTGGGACAATCAAAGTCATCAACAGTCCAGACTTCTGGCTCATTCATCTCATGAACCTGCCTTACACTTCGAGTCCATACCGCATCAGTGATGAGTAATGCCCAGATGATGAACCAGAATGTGGAAGCCATTAGAGTACCTAAGATAAGGGGACATAATCATGGATGTGGAATGATCTTGACCTTTAGATGTAATCATAAATCAAAAAATAATAAAGCAAAATTATCATTAAATATGAGATAGAGAGACTTTAGTTCATTTGATAGATTGTATATAAATATCAATTAACATCTATAGATGCCATTATGGAAATAATTTTACAAACACTGAGACTAACATCCAATTTATTTTCAAAAGGAAGGCAGTAGTGACTATGACTATTAACATTTAGTTTTGAACCAATCACAATAAAAAGTAGAAAAATGGAAACAAAACTTTAGGAGATTTCTAAGTTTTTCCATTTCAAACTATTTAATGGAAGAGAGTTAAACCAGTTATTATCAGTAAAATAGACTGGCTTGCTTTATAATTAAAATTGAGGGTCTGTGTAATTGGTAAGAGCTAAGCACACACTTTTACTACTGAAAAACCAACACATCTGGATGAAATTCATCCAAAGAACTGGAGAGATCAAAGAACAGTTTAACAGTTTGTTGTGGAGGAGGGGTTCTCAGTCTGAACAAAAATGTGTGTTTAATCTCTAAACCTCTACTTCTCAAGGTAAGTTTTCTTTCCAGGGAGAAATATTTTTAATATTTCAAGTAAGGAATAGAGTTAGTTAACCATTTGAATTATAAATTCTATGTGTGTATATATCCCAGTAATATACAAGTAGTCCTCTATACATATGGCTGATAAAAAACAAACCAATAAAGCAGGCTTTTGATCCAGAGTTATCTCCATTACTTACGTATTTTCTGTATTGTTTTTATGATCAGTTGTTCTTGAGTCAAGTGTATATTAACCAAAGAATAAGTAAGCCTGTTTAATAAATCTAAAAGATATGACTGTCTGAAAATATAGTAGTAAAAAATACAAAGAACTATTCTGAAGGGGGAGAAATTAAAAACAATACCCACTGACAAACATATATTTAGTTAAACCACTGGACAAGGAAAGAAACAAGATCTTCCTGATTCCTTAAATAAAGATTAAATATGCAACATTTACAAAATGCTCACTTTCAGTCTTGCTATTTAACTGCTGAAAATGACAAGTGCAGAGAGAACTACTTCCCCAAGCTGTCAAATTTCCTGCAATTGCAGAACGCTTGCTCTGGCCAGCTTTCAGCAGAGAAACATAGTTTAAAAAGTCAGAAAAGTGATTTGCTTCAGTTATCGCAGTTGTAATTGTACCTCTAATGAATCAGAACTGCGTTCTTGGCGATAAGGAATTTTTAAAAGTGTAAAATAGTTTACCTTGCTTTCCAGGAATAAACCGTTGAATCCTGGGTCTGGATTTGAAGTTTGCTAAAATCAGACTAAAGAGAAAACTGGAACTGAAAACACTTTGTTATTGTTATTGTTGTTATTGTTATATGCTCTCAAGCCTCCTAATAGAAAAAGTAGAAACTATTCTGACCACAAACACCTTTTGATCTATTGTTTCCACTTTGCCAGGGCTGCAAAGACCTTACCTCAGCTTTCTTGGATCTTCTTCTTCCCTTTCTATTGGTCACTGCTCGCTCACAGTAGTGATTTGACCCAAGTTCCACTGTCGTATTTTTATGAATCCTCCCTAATATATATGCACCAGTGGCTCCAGCTTTAACCCCTCCAACAACCTCAGCACCTAAGCGGCTCAGCACGAAATTTCTGATGAACGTTAGGAATCTATCATAATTTAGACAATTACATTCAGTAGTAGCAAAAGATGTTGTAATATACTGATACATAGTTACAACCTACCAGCGGGTAACTGAGGACAGTTTTGGCCTCAAGTAAAATGAAAAGAGATTTTCAGGCCCTTTTCTCTTGATTATGTTATTTTAATTTAGTGCAGGGAAGTAAAAGCCAGTGTTCCCTGCTTATATGGAAATATTTTATTCATTTCTAATGTAAAACAGATGCTGAAATGCTATTTAAAATGTTTGACTAAGAGGAAAGGAGGTAGAAAAAATATTTTTAAAATAAAAGACCTAGAAAGTGATACTTGATGTAAACAATACATAAGATTATGCTTTGTTTCAAAAAAATAGTTCTTATATTTCTATTTAGGACTAAAAGCTTTTGTTTTAAATAATTAAACACATTTTTTCTCACCATAATAACACATGTTTTGCATTGAGTCCGTTATGAGACATTTATAGTCTGAATTTAGCACAGAATTCTGAGATGATGTGTCTTCCAGCTCTTATACTTGAGAAAGTATTTGTTATGCGTCTAGAGGAAATATTTATAAACAAATAATCACACTTTCAGGTAATAATCTTTAAAAGACAGTACAATATTGTTTAATTATAATAATTTTTTTTGAGCAGAAAGTTTCTCTTGTGTATTTCACTCTAGGTCTATATTGTTGTTGTGTTGTTAGGCACTGTTGAGTTGAGTACAAGTCAGAGACCTGGAGAACAACAGATCTGAACTTCGTCCTATCCTGTGCCATCCACACAGTCTATAGCACACTCAAGCCCACTGCTGTAGTCACTGTGTTGGTCTAACTGGTTGAGGGTCTTGCTCTCCTCTGCTGTCCCTCTACCTCTGCAAGTATGATGTCTTTCTCAAGGAATAGTCACTCCTAGCAACAAGCCAAAAGTATGTGAGATGATAAGTATAATGATAAAAGGGCACAAAATAGAGGAGATAGGCTTAAAGTTAGGAATTTTTTTAATTACCCCTCCACCTTTTTATCCATAGCAAATTCCACCAGTCTCCAAAATTCAGTTCAGTGAGCTATCCAATAGTAATGATCTAACTTATATATTGGCCATAGGCTGTCATAAATTATTATGAAAATATCTATTGTTGTTTGTGTGGAGTCAAAATTGACCCATAGTTGACCATCCAGGGGATTTTTAGGAGCAGTTAATGGCACAAAGGACATAAATTAACCTGCACGCGCAAACTGAAAGTGCATTTCTATTCAAACATTTTTATAGATTAAGGTCTTAGTGAGACACAATATCTAAATAATTCCTACAAGTATGCTTATATACTATCTTAAGCAAATAAACATTGCCTACTTTTATTTAATGATCTTTCTCACACTTTACGTTCTAGCTATCTCATCCTCTTTCTCAACTCTTAGGGGGGAAAATCAAGATGATTCTCATATCTACACAACCCACTCAAGATATTTCCTATACATTTTCTTTCTTAGTCATATCAATTGCACTCATATCTTAATGCTATTTTAAAACAATGTTTCCATGTGCTTATTGTAGGAAATCACAATGTCAGAACAGAAACAAAAGTAAGTTTATTGGTGCAGTAGTGTACTGGCTGCCTCTAATCTCTCCTCCTCCTCCTCATCTTTCTACCTGCAAAAATATGACTTCCAATCCCACTGCTTTTAAAAAACCACTCTGATAAATATCAGCAATGATTTTTACACTTAAGGATCTTTTGAAGTCTTGTGATATTTTGCTTACTTTTCCTGTGACCTCGAGTAATAACAATTCACCTTTTTTGTTGTTGTTGAATGACCTTAATTTCTCTAAAATTGTTTTCTTCTAAGGTTTCCTCATTTTCTGGTAAAATTTATCTATCTGTCTAACGGAGTTCTCAGTTTTATCCTTCCTAAGAGAACTCTTTAGGTGCTGCACTGCAACCCTGAAGGCATGTAATCCAAATCCACCACTTTCTCTGTAGGAGAAAGTTGGGCAGTCTTGTCTTGTGCAATTAAACTGCCTCTGAAAACCCACTGGAGGATCAGGTATGGGTTGCTTCTAACTTAACATTACACAACAACAACAAACACATTTAATAGTATTTCTAGAGTTTTAAGATGTTATCCTTTATGCACAGCTCTTCTTATTTGTTTACATATTCCTTTTATGAATCCATAACTTTAACCCTTCTATCTTGAGGACTCCACTGCTGTAATAATATGTGCCATTCCTAACTTGTATCTGTTTCCTGGACATCTGTAGCATGTCCCAAGGGAATAACTCTAAAATGAAATGAAATGTTTTTCTTTTAACTTATTTACTTTTATACCTTCAAATGATATTTTCATCTTACACAGTCTCCTGATCCAGAAATCTGGAAGTCATTCTTGACTCTATTTTGCGAGCATGTTGCTGTTGTTACGTGCCATTGAGTAGAGTATGACTTATGGTGGCCCTATGAACAATAGATCTGAACCCTGTCCTATTCTGTACCATCCTCATAATTTCGGACACACTGAAGCCCATTGCTACAGTCACTGTGTTTAAGATTTTCTCTTTTGCCATCCCTTCACTTTCCCAAACATGATATCTCTCTCCAGTGAATAGCTTCTCCTAGCAACATGTCCAAAATATGTGAGGCAAAGTTTTATCATCTTCACCACCAATGAGCACTATGGCTGCAAAACTTCTTCAAAACATGTGTTTGGTGTTTTTTTTTTGCAAGTCCATAGAATATTAAGTACTCTTCTCCAACACTACAGCTCAAAGGCATCAATTCTTCTTCTGTCATCCTTATTCACTGTCATCTCTCAAAAGCATAGCAAGTTATTGAAAAGATCATTGCCTGGTTGTTAATCAAACTAATATCATTGCTACTGAATAATTCAGAGTGGTTCCTGACTGCAGACATACTCAGTGCACTATATCTCCTGCTTGTATTAAGTGTACTGATTGTGGATCCAAGTAAGATGAACGTGTTGGTTTCAATCTTATCTCTCTCTACCACGATGTTGCTTGTCAGACCACTGACTAGGATTTTTGTTTTCTTGATGTTAAGATGTTATACATATTGAAGGCTTTACCCTTTGATCTCTGTAGCTATTGCTTCAAGCCTTTCTTACCTTGAGCGAGCAAGGTTGAGTTATCTGCATGATGAAGATTATTGATAATCTTCCTCCAATTCTGATGCTACATTTTCCTTCATAGCATCCAGTTTCTCAAATAATTTTCTCAGGCCACAGACTGAATAGGGATAGAAAAAGGATATATCCCTGATGCACATCTTTCCTAATATTAAACCACGCA